AGAGGTCCTGAGTTCAATTCCCGGCAACCACATGGTGGCTCACAGCCATCTATAATGAGATCTGGTGCCCTCTTCTGCCCTGCAGGAATATATAAAATAAATAAATCTTTAAAAAAAAGATCCCACCACCCACACAAGATAACTTCCCTGCCCTACCCATGCCTATAACCCCAACTTTGAGGGGTACAGATTCAGGAGGATTTCTGGAATTGTCTGGCTTCCAGTATTTATGAAAAACGTGGGCTCTAGGTTTGGGAAGTCTCACAGGAATAAGTGGATAGTGACAGATGAGGACTCCACACCCTCTTATGGTCTCTGCCTGTATGCATAGTCTCACACGCTTGTGCACACATGTGCACACACACACACACAAATTGATGACTAAATCTTTTAAAATATTTATGAAGTAGAACTAGTGTCAACAAATATTTCATCATCAACTGTTTTGATATGCAGTGTTCCCCTCCCACATATCTATTTCCGTTTCAATGAGATATGTGCATCAGCACTGAGGTACAGCTCCACATTGTCATCCTCAGTAGCCTGTGGAGTTCTGACCCCTTAGAGACCTCGATCCAGACCAAACTGGGATTCATGGATTTGATGTAGAGAAGAATTTCAAAACCAGCCAGTGTGATGAAGCAGAGTTGGAAAGTGCATTAAGCACAAGGGTTAGGAGAAAGAGGCACCCATGGAAACAAAGACACACCTAAGAGTGTGAACTTGGCCTCCCCTAAGAGTTACAGAGAATTAAATACCCATGTATGGATGTGAACTCCTCAAGGGAGCCACAGAAAATAAGACATGCACAGAGTATAAGAAAGAGTCATGGAAAATTAGGCATACCGAAGTTGTGGATGTGGGCTCCACAAGGGAGGCGCATAACTAACGGCCTTGGCATTAACCGTATATACCCTTGTGCTGGCCCTCAAGTTACAGCTTAAAAGGTTGCTAGCTAAGAAACCTTAGCGCCTTTTATCGCCCTCTTTCTCTCTCTTTTGAGAATTGAGATTATATGGTGACTCTGGAGATGCCTTGTATTGAGTTCTAACCTGATGGGTTAAGCCAGAAGATACTGTGGTCTTACAAGGGGCTTAGTACAAGCCTTTTCTCTCTAAATGGGATTTCTGGTGAGATTAGAGAAAAATACAGCTTTACAGCTGAAAAGGGAGAAACTTAAGCAGTTGTTAATTGTGCTAAAATTCTTTCTTCATTTCTGGCAAGAGGCTTCAGATTTCTGGGTGAGAGGCCCCGTTTTTCTCATGCCCCCCAATTTTCCGTCTTTTTATCTTGCTTCATGTAGGCATTGTTTAATACAGACATAAAAGTTCTTATATTATCTTGCTTGTAATCTAAATGCTTTCCCGTCTTAATTTACATTTCTTCAGTTTCTCATGTATTTGGATTTTCTGTGGCAGGATCTTGCCATGTAGCCCGGCCTGGGACTCATGATCTTGCTGCCTCAACATCCTGAGTTCTGGGATTCCAGGTGTGCGCTGACATGCCCTGCTGTGTGCTTGCCCTTTAAAGTCTTCTCGGCTGTTTTGTTCCATAGGGCACTGTTATTATTGCCGCTGTTATTTTTGCCTAGTCCTGGCTGACCTAGTACTCCCTTCGTAGTCCAGTCTGACCTCAAAGCCTAGAAATCCTCTTGAGTTCTGGGATTACAGGTATTCACCACCACATCTGGCTTGTTTTCATGGTGCTGTTGGTTTATTTTTAATTAAGTAATGTATGTATCTATTTATTATCCATTCATTTATTGATGTCCCTCTTTGTGGGTATGTGTGTGAATCCACATGTGTGAGATCAGAAAACAACTTAGGAAAGTTGATTCTCTCCTTTCACAGTGAGAGTTCTGGAGATCAAACTCAGGCAGTCAGGCTTGATGACAGACACCTTTACCCATTGACCATCACACTGGTCCCATGTTTTCATGGTTTTTCAATCAATTTTTCAGGTGTGTGTGTGTGTGTGTGTGTGTGTGTGTGTGTGTGCAGTATTAGAGAACTGAAGCCAGGGATTTTTGACTGCTTAGTAAATAAATCCTCCACTCCCTTTTCAGTTCTGTTTCCACTCCTGTGCCTGTCACAGCCAGTGGTCTCTGGCAGGAGACACAGCAATACACTGTCCCCTCCCTGCAGCAGCCTGAGGGGTTCTTTTCCGAGACTGCCACTGGAGTGATGACAAGGAATCTCAGGCTGAGTCAGCTGGGAGCAGAATTGGAGTGTCTTAGGCAGACCGTTTCACATCGATTTGAACCTGAGTGTAAATAGAAAGAAAGGTGCTCGGGAAAAGGATACAGGGCAGCCAAGAGCATGAGTTTGGGCTTCTCAAGAAAGCATCCCCCTTGAATGCCTTAGCAGTGCCTGAATATAAAATGTTACAGTCTTTTGAAATTATATAGCTTGAAGTGTTTCAAAAGAAACACCTCTACTCTGTCTCTTTCTTCTTTTTGATAAGTGAAATAATGGAATGACTCTGTAGGAGCCTTGGGTAAGATTGCAACCTGATAAGGCAAAACCAGGGGTTCTGCAGGTTACACAAGGGTCTTAAGACATGCCTTTTATTGTGAATAGGCTAAGTTATTGTGAGATTTCATAACAGTTGAAGGCTTATAGCAGAGACCCCCTTAATTTTCCTGCCCTGTTATTCTGCCTCATTAATACTTCACTTACTGCTTATTCCTAGGGGACTTTAAGATCCCATTGACTTCCCTCCCCTACAGCTTTAAAACTGTTCTTAAAGCATAAATGCAGGGTGGCCTCAAACTCACAGAGATCCGCCTACCTCTGCATCCTAAGTGCTGGGAATAAAGGCAATAAAGGCGTGCAGAAGGGGAGGAAGGGAGGGGAGCAGAGATAAATATATAACTCAATAAAAACAATTTAAAAAATATAAATGTGGGTGCTGGGGATTTAGCTCAGTGGTAGAGCGCATACCTAGCAAGCACAAGGCCCTGGGTTCGGGCCACAGCTCTGAAAAAAGCCATAGATGTATGCACATCACTCCTCTATCTAAATTGCTCCAGTGGCTCCTATTATTCTTAGGTTAAAAGTTTAAGCTAAAAACAAAGAAGATAATGCCTTACATGATTTTGCCTCATTCTCTACCCTTTAATCTTTGCTAAGTATTCATAATGTAGTCATGGCTTAAAAGTAACTTCCAGCCAGGCATGGTAGTGGCGCACGCCTTTAATTCCAGCACTTGAAAGGCAGAGGCAGGCAGTTCTCTGTGGGTTCGAGACCAGCCTGGGCTACAGAGCTAGTTCCAGGACAACCAGGGCTGTTACACAGAGAAACCCTGTCTCAAAAAAACAGAACAAAACAAACAAAACAGAGCCACCACCAACAAAATACACACATACAGAACAATAAAACAAAAAGTAACTTCTTCTGGGGATAGTTGTCTTTGTATTGTTAATCTCTCATTTCTTAATACTGTCATGCAGTGTATTCCAGAAACATCTACATTCTCAGAAATAGTCAAGAGGTATTATTTGTAGACATGCAGCAAAGTATATATATTTGCTCAATTCCTCATGTCCTTACAAATGGCTCAGCATAAAAATTTCTGTTCTGATTTTCCTCTACTCTATGCCTCTTCTGTCTGCTAGAATCTGCATAGTGTTTCCAAGATAATGACTGTTTCCTTCTATCTTGCCATTTGTATGCACAAGGACCTTCAGTTCCTCTCACTCAGAAGATCTGATCCAGAACTGAAACCTGACGATTTTTGTAAAAGTTCCTTCAGATAAGTCTGATTAATCATCAGATCATAAGAATTGCTGACATACATAAAATGTACACATAAAGTTAGCAATAAATAAATGGTTATGGAAACAGAGTTTAGAATCAAATGGATATGGGTTCAATTAAATTTTGACTTTTTACTATTGTGTGTGATTTTGGCAGCTTACTTAGCTTTTAAATGTGCATGCTTCCTCACTTACAAAATGGAAATAACATCTACTACATAACATTGTGGTAGGGAGAAAATTAGATAATTTATGTAAATTTTCATTTTTATGCACTTAGTATATATATATATATATATGGCATGAATATATATACTCTCTATATTAAACATTCCATAAATGGTAGCATCATATTGTCACTGTAAGTCATTCAGTCGTTCATTCAGCATGTATTTTATTCCCTATGTATCTAACATTGTTTTAGGAACTATAGAAGAAGATATAACAGTAAAAAACTGGATCCTTATTGCTGGGTTTCTTAAAAGTAGCTGGGGAGATGAGCCCAAGGATTTAACCCTGTTGGCAGAGTGTTTGCCTGGCACACACAAAGTCATGGGTTGAACCCCAGCATGTTCTAAATTGAACATGGTGGCACATGCCCATCTTCCCAACCCTCAGAAAATAGAAGCAGGAGAATCAGGAGTTCAAGGTTATTCTTAGCTGTGTAGCAAGTTCAAGACTATTCTGGGATACATGAAACCCTATCATAAAGAAACAAACAAACAAATAAGTGAGAAAGAAGATAAGAATTAGTTTGGGACATAACATTATCACAGTATTATGACATCAGAATAATATAATGAAATATAAATATTGTAAAAGAGAAAATAATGAATAGTATTAGTGGGAAGGCATTCATCCACCATGATGGTTTGTAAATTAGCATGAAAAAGATGTAGAAAAACAATCTTAAACTGCTCTCACTAAGCCAGCAGAGGACTACTTTGATGCTGTCTGCCAGATGGAAAATGATGCAGAGGGGAAAAAATCCTGTATTTACTTCTCAAAATTAAGACAGAATGGAGGAGTGTATTTGAGGGGTGAACATATGTGTATAAATATGGTTTAACTCTTAATTGATTCCTTACGATTAAAATTGAAACTGTTTCCATTGGAAAGGCAGAAATGTGGTATTTTCACTTACAAGTGATTTATTTTTACCTCGTTAAACCAGAAATCAAACATTAGATGAAGGTTCCAAGCCTATTTTGATGTATATTGATGTATTTTTTTTTCTTTTCAGGGTCGCTATGGCAACTGCATCTTCTCAAGTTCTGATTCCAGACATTAATTTTAATGATGCTTTTGAAAACTTTGCTTTAGATTTTTCTAGAGAAAAGAAACTATTGGAGGGGTTAGACTACTTAACAGGTGTGAATGTACTGTGCTTTCCTTCCCATTTTATTTAATTGTCTTTCTGTACCCTTTTAAAATAATCTGAAAAGGAAAAGATTTACTATGAGAGTTTTTACATAAACCTTTACATACCACATGCATCTTTTCAGAAAAGATCAGGTATGTTCAGGGTGGTATAGTTTTAGCCCACATGTACCTTTATAGAAACAATATCTTTTGGTTCATGTTACATAAAAGAAAAGCGGATGTCTGGGGGGAGGGGCTGTGGCTCATTGACAAAGATCCCGATCAGTATTTCATATGGTTCAGTCCTGGGTAGCAACAGAAAGAAGAGCTTTATCAAAACAAATTTGTCAAATTTGTTTCTTATTAAGTATCATATTACTTCCCTGAGCTGTTAGGACTCAGGATTAGTCTTCCAGACAAATTTTTCATGTACCAAATTGGTGTCAGAAGTGACAGTCTACGTTTGTTAAGCTGATTGGAATAAAGACTAAAAATACCTGTGAAGAATACAAAGAAAGTAAAGGATGAAACCAGCTTGTTAAGAATGCTGGCTACCTTCAGGATTACTCAATGGTCATTTCTTGAGAAAAATCTACACACAATAACCTTGTTTGTAGCTATATTGTTATGATACCAATGCGGCTATTACGTGTTATCTATTTTATTCCAGACACTATATAAATTTTGTATTATTTTTCTTCATAACAAATCTATATGGTAATGCCCATTTTACAGTGGGAAATTCTTATTAATTAGCATTTAAATACTGTCAAATGTCTCCGAAAAGATTATTTTGAAATAAAAATAGGTTGAAATCCAAGTAACAAGAAAAAATTATTTTGCTTTGCTATCTACATACGTGCTTTCCCAGGCACTTTAGAAAGGTGGAGAAGGCATTGCAATTACTTAGTCTTACATATTTGCCAAAAGTGGCTGGGGAAGGCTTGAGGTCTCAGTACAGAGCTTCAGTCTACATGATTCTTGTCAAAGTTTGTTTATTAAGACACTTTCTCCAGAGCTGAGGGTGTTGCTCAGTAGTACTGTGCTTGTCTATCATGGGCTTAATCCCGAAGACTGGAAAAAATAATACAATAACAAAAATTCCTACCTCTTCTGAAGAGACAAGGTATTTCCTTACTAGTTTCTTTATGTTATTTTCAGCCCCAAACCCACCATCTATCCGAGAAGAACTTTGTACCGCCTCCCATGACACCATTACAGTCCACTGGATCTCGGATGATGAGTTCAGCATCAGCTCCTATGAGCTTCAGTACACCATATTCACTGGCCAGGCTAACTTCATCAGTAAGTCATGGTGTAGTTGGGGCCTGTGGCCAGAGATAAGGAAATGTAAGGAAGCAGTAAGCTGCTCAAGATTGGCCGGTGCGCCACGAGGCAAGTGTTTGCAAGACATGTGAGGTTGTTTAGTATAGACTTTCATAGACAGTGTAAGCTCCCAGGATATTGTAAAACATTACTGGTGGCTGATAAGCTGGTTGTGTATTTTCTTGCTGGGTAGTCACTGGGATAAGTCATTATGGTTTACGTGATCCTTAGCCTTTTCTAAATCCATACCACTCCATAGATCCAAAGTGCTGTTCAATATTTGTTCCTGGGTAGCTGTAAATCACTCCATTCCACATGTGTGAACCTCTCTCTCTCCCTCTCTCTCTGCATCTTCTTCCATTTCATTATCATGATCAAATTATGTTCAAAGACCATTACTTCCTTTCATTACCTGTTTGTGTCTATGAACGTGTAGATCAGTTTTCTGCCCCTGCCATTCTTCTCTTTACTACTTCTATATTTCCACAAATAATTCCAGTAAATATAAAAACGTGACAGGGCCAGATCAGTGTTTCATGCTGATAATCCCAACGTGGAGGAGGTTAAAGTAGTAGAATTGCAATTTCAAGACCCGTGTCAAAAAGCAAACAAAAAGCAGTATCCGTGGATCATAGTTAAAGATGTTCCAAAGGCTGCTCTTCAGCCTACCTGTTAACATGATTTCACCTTGTGCTGAACTGGAGCTAAACCGGGCACAGCAGGAACTTAACTGATTGACACTTAGTAGGCATTGAACAGAAAGGTCCCATCAGTTTACTGGACGGAGGAGGCTAGGGGGAGAGAAAGCAATGGAAACTGTAATGAGTCTTTTTCTGTCCTTCCAGACAAGTCCCAAATAATGGCATGGAGACTTGTTATTAATTATGAACGCTTGGCCTTTAGCTTACTTGTTTTCAACTAGCTTTTACAACTTAAATTAGCCCATATTTTATTAATCTGCATTCTATCATGTGGCATTACCTCACTTCTATCTTGCACCTTCTGTTTCCTCTCCACTTCTCCTGGAGTCTCCCATGCCTTTATTATCTCTTCCTCCTTTCTCTCTCTGCCCAGAAGTCCCACCTCTACCTCTTGCCTCCTTCAGCTCTTTACTAAGCCAATCGCAACAATATATCTTCACACAGTGTACAAATATCCCACAACAGGAAACAAAACAGAATCAAAGCTGAATCCAAGCAGTTGCATTTGCAAAGCTGCACATTAATATTTTCTTTGACTTTGCACTTTGCGTTTATGTTCTTCTTCACAGACCAACATGAATAGACTCTTCCTTCACATAAACCCTCCTTATGGGCTTTCTTTTCTTATTTGGCGACAATTCATGGGCAGAATTCTGTTTTGTGACAGAACTAGGAAGGAGAGATAAGGGGATATTTGGGAATAAAACATTAAAAAATATTTGCCTCATGAAGTTCCAGCCTAAGGCACTTGGTTCATGTGGCCATATGTTTCTGGGCATCTCTTCAGATTATAAAGTCATAGGCTCTAAGACCTTATTATAAGTCTCCTCTTCCAGTTCACTCTATAAGTTCTGGAAGCCCATGTCAAAGATAGGAACTGTCCTTTCCCTTCCTGATAGAGGAAGAACAATTATCTCCCAGAAACTGAGAACTGGTCTGAGAACTGACAAGCCTAAAAACTGTCTCCTCTGGTTTCAAAGCCAGAGTCCTTTGTAAATGAAGGCCTAAAGGAGTTTCTGCTAGTGCTACTAATGCTAAGGTTAATAGCATCTTAGAAGTCTAATCTTCCCTTTTACTGGACAAGTAGATGTCTCTGCTTGAATGTTGCTAATAAGGGCATGCTCATTTTCATGAAAACAGTCCATTTGATTTTTGAGCAGCTATACATTATGTCCAATACTTCCTTGGAAGAGGCCTGTTTCTCTTGGTAAATAATAAGGACAGAAGTAAAGCCATGTGTGCACTCTGCTTTGCTGTCCTCACACTCTCATTTAGTCCTCAAGTGCTCTTCTAAAAGAGATTATATTGATTCCAATTTTATATATGAAGAAATTGGTGCTCAGGTTAAGTGAGTTTCCCAGGGACACAGAACTCCAAAATGATGGGACAAGATCGGAACCTGTGACTGCCAGACTTCAAGCTTGATGTTCCTTGATTAATCATTTTGTGCCTCATTAAGAAACTTATTCCATCTTGACCATAACAGTTCTTCAGGCATTTGGGGTAGCTCATATGTAACTACTAACGTTACGTTTTTATGACTCAGCATCTTTGGTTCTTTTGATGCTCCTAGTACAATGTGCTCTTCAGACCCTTTCTCAGCATAGCATTCTTTTGATGGACGATCTTCTTTCGGTTAAAGTGCTTTTCAAATGTGCTTTGTGTCAAAAGTGAACATAAGTACTCCAAACGTGGTTTGACTTCCCCAAAGGGTAGATGAATTATGTCTTTTTTTTTCTCCTCTGAGACAGGGTCTCTTGTAGTCCAGGCTGGCCTTGAATTTACTGTGTAGCAGAGAGTGACTTTGAACTTCTGACTCTTCTGTCAGCACTGCCTGAGTGCTAGGATTATAGGAATTTACTACCACATCTGGTTTTATGTAGAGCTGGAGAAGGAATCTAGGGCTTTTCTTCATACTGGACAAGCATCTACCAATGCAGGTGTGGCCCCAGTCAATGGGATATGTTTCTTGTGCATAAGTTGCTTCCCTCTTGTTCTGTACCTTTTTGGCAGCCGCATTGACTATCAAATGTTCCCAAGCATAAACTTAACGCGAGTCCTATGTATGATAATTTCTATCCCCACTCAACTCAAACTCAACACCTTTGAATTTATGCCTATTACGTCTTGTCTTGTTACCCTTGACTCTGTATCCCATCATGCCCAGATCCTCCTAGATCTGTTTTCTACTTTTCAGTACATTTGATTTTCCTCTCAGCCTGACATCTGTGCTTTCATACATTGGCAGAAAAGTTCAGTAGGATAGGCGCAAGACCCTTGCTGCGAAAATTTAAATGGCAATGAGTAATTTTTTTTACATAAGTCCTCCCTTTGTAGCCCTAGCTGGCCTGGAACTCACTGTATGGACAAGACTGGTCTTGAACTCAGAGATTCCCTTTTCTCTGCCCCCTAGGTACTGAGATTAAAGGCAATAGGCAACCATTTTACTCGAAAGAACTATTAATGAAGACTCAGCGCTCCAGTCCTATCAGTCAGGCCTGCCCCTGTTGAGTGAACACAAGTGCTGAGAGCTACTTTCTCTTGAGACATTCTTCACATTGTCATTATCTAGAAATCCCTTCCTTGCTCACTTGCTTGCTTCCTTGCTGCCCCCTTTTTCTTCTCCTCCCCCCCCCTTTTTTTTGAGGCAGGAACCCTGGTTAACCTGGGGTTCATAGCAATTCTCCTACCTCAGACTCCCAGAGTAGTTATGTCGAAAGAGGTAACTCTCCCTCCTTCGTAACTTATCCCCTTTATTTTGAGCTCTCCTACGACCTCTTCTAAGATTTAAATGATCACAGACAATAAGGTTTCAGGCCATACTCTGAGGTGAATGAGAATTCCAACAAGTGTTTGTTTTCCTGGATACTCTGTTATCTTTCTAGTTCAGTGATTTTTGTATTACAAAGACTTGGACATAACCTCTGTCTGGTCAGGCAGTCTGGAGCATGTGGCCACAAAGCTAGAACTTCAGCTCTTTATCTTTCCACCGATTTAGCCGTCTCCACCACACATGTGCGCATGTCCTGTTGCTTAAATTTTCCTATTTTGGCACTTCCCTTTGAATAAGGGGTGTGCTTTCATTACCACAATTTACTTGTAGGTCCCATGACACCAGGTCTTACTGAAAACCACACAATCGTATATTTAGCTTTATAAACTCAGGAATGGTAGCGAGGGAGACAGTGCAGAGGGTAACGTGTGAACAGCTGAGTTCAGTCCCTGGCCCCTGTGTAAACACATCTCAGCCCAGGAGCATAGCTGCAATGCCGGTGCTAGGGAGGTAGAAATGGGTAGATCCCTGAGGCTTGCTGGCCAGACAGACAGCCTACTGGATTAGTTCCAAGGCAGTGAGAGGCTGTCTCAGACAAAAAGATAGACAGTGCATGAGGATTGACACCCAGGCTTGTCTTCTGGCTTTTCTTTCTGGCCTACACACACACACACACACACACACATGCACACACATATGCATACACATACACACACATGTTCGTGCACACAAACAAAATAGGAATGATTTCAAAATTTAAAAAAATTGCAATACTAACACAAAGAACACCCTGTACTTCTTACCCATATTGGCATGCGATTGATATTTTACTTTGTTATCTGTTCCATTGACTCTGTATTTTCTGAATCATTTGAGAGTAAATTTGCATCCATCACTTCTTTTCACCCCCTAAATTCTTCAATGTAGATTTCCCAAAAGGAAATGTTCTTTACACTTGATTGTCTTTGTATTTGACAATTTCATACATGTAAACAGATTATTGTGATTGCTCTTACTCACATCCTCTTTTAGTTCACATCTCTGTCCACTCCCTTCATCCTGATGAGGGCCTTTCCCAGAATCCTAACTTTTGGTTTTGTTTTGCGATCCATTTTGTTTAACAAGAGACGTCTGTATGACCATTAGATTGGAATTGTTCATCTAAACCCTGTGCGGGCATTAGCAGGTATATACTTTAAGGCAGTGATTACCTCTCTCCCTGAATCTGTCAATATCGAAAGTTTATTAGCGAAGGCTAAGGTTCCTGAACCTTTCCTCCATTCAGGTCTGACTGGTGATAGGCCCATCCTTTTGTTGTTTTGTTTTTTGGATTTTTTATTTATTTATGTTTATTTTGTGCATATGAACCTATGCATGTGCACCATCCCTGCTGTTCCTGAAGCCAGAAGAAGGCAGGAAATCCCCTAGATCTGCTGTTATAAAGAGTTAGGAGCCCTGACAGGCCCATTCTTATGCAGACTCGGTGCAGGTATCCACACCTGCTGAGTTCTTGTTGCACAGACTGAGTTTTGTAAGGAAGATGGCAAGTCACAGCCCTGCTCCCTATCTTCTGGCTCTTATATTATTTCTGACCC